GAGCGCTGGCCTTACTTCTCTGCTCCTCCATCTTCTGGGTACACACTATTTTCTATGAATTTTCCTAAGACTCTTCTTTACTTACAGTATGTTTGACTGTGATTCTCACCGCCGCTACCAGATTTTGCATGTGCTATGTGCTCTGTCCACTTGACTCTGCCTACAGTCGTCTGAAATATTTGTGAAGCATTAGCCCAACAGGGCAAAGGGCACTTGTGCTCATAGAGAACACTGTCTGGGGACAATGCACGACATGGGTTGGTTTTAGGTCTTGTTAGCTCAGCCATAATCTTTATCAGCTCTCTCACAAGCCCCCCCCCCCACCACCACCTGCATTGCTGTGCCAATGCAGCTTCAACCCAGGAGACCCCTTCCAACCTGACTGCTAGCCTTCAGTCCCTGGGAGATGCCACAGGGTCCTGATGGCAGGTAACAGGAAGTAAGGGTGTTTACATCCAGATTAAAAAATCAGGTAGACTACCTTATACTTGATGAAATAAATAACAAGAAAGCTCCTCTACAAGGAAATACTTGATACAGTGATATATCAGAAAGATTGATCTCCATGGAACTTAATTTCACTGCAAACATGAATTAAAGTTTTCTAAGAAATAAGTCTAAATAATAAACTAATAACAATGAAGTGTTAATGATGAAGGAACTGGAGGTTTTTTAAAATTCCATTCTGGCATAATTAAGGGATAAATTAGTTCAAATGAAATATGTCAGTTATTAAAACTTCATTCATTCATTGACTTATGTTTCATGTGAACAGAGTGTATTTTTAAGATTATTTGATTATTATATGTCAATGTCATTTCTAATTTTTGGAAAATTGATATTAATGCCTTGTCATTGAAAATGTAACTGTGTTTATCAAATTAACTTCTCAAAGGCTACCTGATAGTCACCAGATGGCTTCACCTGAGCCGATGTCAAATCAGAAATGGAAGTTATGGATAGCCTTGAGACTACTCATTACCACTCACTCATCCCCTGGGTTCCTTTAAAATCATAAAACACGAAGGCTTTCTACTACTTTCATAAATTGTATTTGAACATAATGAAATATGCTCTATGCACAATGCTTGCAATAATTCAAGTTTTTTTCTTAATAGGAGTCTATCTAGAAATAGCACAATATAAAATGATCATTAATAGGCCTGTTACGGTGCTTGAATAAATGCCTACCAAGAACACAGGCACACTTAGTAAATTTCCTAAAGAAAATCCATTTTCATTTCAAATTCTGACATTTTATTTAGAAAAATTATCCCCTTTCATTTCATTATTTCAGTAAACATAATGAGGGTATTGCTAACTACACCTCCGAGTACTTTATTTTCTCCATTTTTTTAGTAATATGAGCCTACTTGTAATTAAAGGCATGCTACATTAATGATGCCTAAAGTCTCCAAGGGAAACATTTAATGTCCACCTCATAATATTATGCCAAAATTACATGCACAGAAGACTTTTTAATAATCTTTGTTTCCTAATTTAGTTTTGATTGGCTCTGAAATCCATAGCTGCACTCAAGGGCTCACATTTCCACAGTCATCAGCACTTCTGCGCCATAAATTGTATGAACGCACATGACTCCTTCCGTCTGTAGGCTTCTTTTCAAAGCTTCTGTTTAACTTATCCAGAAAATTAGCTGCAGGCTGGAGATAATTGCAGATAATTTTGCCATTTTTAAGCCACTGGGGTGTTATGTGGAGATATGACAGCTAAGTTTGTCTAAACTCAGAGAACAAGTCATAGCTTTGTGCCATCACTTCAGCTTTACACACAGGTTCACATCGTCCTAGGTGCTCTTTATGCAAATTGAAACAAATTGTAGTCACTGGATGATCTGTGTTTTCTGACAAAGCTGTGCTACCTGAAGCTTTTATGAGGCTGAAAGAAGAATATGATCTACACGACCATGTTAACCCAGCCTAAAACAAAACGCTTAACCCTCTTCTACCCTTCAGATCCTTTCCTCTTAACAAAAGCAGAGATTGTTTTTCAGCTCCCAACAACTTAAAAGAAATATATTAAACTGTTTAAAGGAAAATGTATGATCTCAATATACACAATCCATACATATATATGTATCTCTCTATATATAAATCCCCCTACTCCACTAGCCTAAGTAGAAATGGCAGAATTTTCCCATAAAACTAGTGTTTAAAATTCTGGAATGAATACACAACAATTTAAAATCACTAGACATGAGTTATTAATTAGGTCATCCAGGTTAACAAGCAGAGATCTATTGTTAAGTGGAATCATGTGGCCCTTTTTTCTTAAAATTTCACTTAAAGTACATGCAGCATTCATGGATGCTCACTGGCCAACAGTGAGGGAGCAGACGCAAAAGGCAGCAACACAGTCTCTTAATGCTTGCCAGTGAACTTCGACTTTCTATAAGATAAACAGGCCATGGGAATTATAGGGTATTTCTCTGACCAAATATCCCCTGGGTGCTCAGAATTGCTATAGTCACCGCTAATAAGGGAGCCACTCACTGAGCAGATGATGGCTGAAACCATTTGGCAGCAAACATTTACATATAAGGGCTGAGTAGTGACCGTGCTCAGGAGGCTGTTCCCTGATGTAATAGGCCATAACGACTCCGAGGGAGAGGTATGGCTGCACGTGTCAAGGAGGGCAGAGCGTGAAAGCCATAACACAAATGACTTTATGGATTCCCATTAGACCTTGGGCTAAGGAGCACCTAAACAGGTCTGATATGACAGCATCCTGAGACAGCTTTACAGCCTTGTGTCAGGAACCCTTACATTAAAGTTTTATGGGAAATCCAAAACGGCGGAGGGGAAGTGCTGCTGCATTAGGCCATAGCATTGACTTGGTGTATAATATGCATACAAATAGTCACAAAGTTTGCATTGACAGAGTAGGTTATTAAATCTGTTATGCCAATCATATGCATACTAGAGTCCAAACTAAGCACTGATGGGTAACATCTCACATACCTTACACTCTCCTTTGAAAAACAATTCTGCTCAAGGACAATTGTAAGCCCACCAAGGCTTCCAAAGATCTCTTCATAGTAAGATGTAGCCTTTTAAAAAGACTGTCCTGTGGAGATTTGTGCAGACATATAAAGTATGCATGTGAGTGCACTGGAGGAAGCTGATGGATATCAATTTCCTTCCTGTCTTTTGGTCTCTAAGATCACTTAGCCAGTGGACTGGTAGGAACTGGCTTGTTTAAGGACCTTCGACCACCTCACTGTGAAAGGCAGGCAGGAGTAGTGTAATGTGCCCTTTGCCACTCATGATGGGAGAAGAGGACATGCTAAAGACACCAAGTGAACCCTTTAACATGATGGGCAGGAACAGTGCTGACCAAGCAATCTCTCGCAGGAGGCTGAGCTCAGGGAACCTGCGCATTCAAATCACATGTCAAACACACCAGAAAGGGCCTGTGTGAGTGGAAGCAGCTCTCTGAACAAGGGCGTTTGCTATTTTCCTTACATCTGTAAATCATTAAACAAGTCCAGGAGTGGCATATCGCTCCAACTGCATACTAGCCATCATGCAGAGCGAGAGTGGTCTTTGTAACGTAAAGAGCTGGCCCAGAATTGTTCTCTGTGCTAAGGAGTGGAACAACCTATCAGCAGCCCAGCAATTTCCCCTCAGATTTGCAATGAGATCTTAAATTTGACCTTTGATGGGAGATTATTAAAGGCCTGATCTAAAGTCAACGAATAGGCCCGCTATTTGCTAATGTATTTGAATAAACTCCTCTTCTGGAAGTCTCTGGTTTCTAAAAAGCAACTTCTTTGCAAAGCACATACCTGCTGCCCAGAGAGACGGGTCCTCTCTTTGAAATATTTAGTCTTTCAGGGCACTTTAGTCATAGTGACACCTAATAGCCAAGCTCTTTTTCCCACTCTCCACAAAATCAGGTTTAGACTATAATTCAAACCAGTCCCCAAAGGCACTTCTGAAAAATGGCAAGCCCTTAGCTTTTAGGTGAAAACACTCTTTATTGCTCAGAATTGTTTCCTGTTATAAAACCTTTTCTACAGTGCTAGGTCCAGGATGGTCTTATGCTAATTTAACTCACTGGGGACTGTGAACAGATGCTACTTTGATTAATAGTTTCACTATCCTGAAAATGCCAGGCCAGGTTCAAGATAATAAAGTCAGGTAAGAATCCTATTAAAATCTGCCAAACGATTATATCTGTTATGTGAGAGAAATAGGATCACAGACCCTGTATCAAATGAAGACCACCTATGTAATAAAAAAAAAATGACATAAACCTAGTAGCTACGTTATCTGAATTCTTTAGCTCATTGATTTACATCATTTTAATCACCGAACTCTAGTGCTAATACTGGATAGGTCACTGCTGAAAATGTTACCTTTCAGCAAATATGTTTTCAACATTCCAACATTTATCTTTAAAACACCCGTAGAAAATCGCGGCGCTTGAAAACAAGGGACTGCAGGAGTTGACAAATAAGACTCTTCTGGGAACGCTTCCCATGAAGCATTAGCCCCTCTCTCCTCCTCTGCTTCTCTTAGGGGTCTCCTACCAAAGATTTCCAAATCACAGCAGTTTCCCGATGAGGAAAACCATGAAATCCATTCTAGCCTTGAAGAAACCTTTGTGGTTTTAAAGTTGGTTTACCCACGGGTTCTATCCTTACCATAGCACGTATGGCCTAATCAGATTCCCTGCCTCCAATCTGAAATTTAACTTTCAGTTGGGGGTTTTCTTTGATAATTTATATACAGTGCACTTGTCACAGTGAAACCTTTGGAAAGCAGAAGGTAAGTTACAGGGCATCGATTACACGGTGCGATTGTGATTCAAGGAGGTCCTAGCCTCCACTGAGAATGACGCTAGCCTGTTGGCACAAATTTCCCACCTGCAGACTCAGCTCATTGCATGAGTTGAGTCTTTACCCTCTCACCACATTTGCATGCAGATGCAGCATGCCCCCACTTAATATGAAACATTCCAAAGGGTTGCCTCACCATTGCACAGAATGTCTCAGGAGGGTCTCCACAGGTAATGTTTGGAGGATCCAGCTTCACTTTCAAATACTTTGTCATGTCCGTGGATTCCGGCTGACAGGCCATGTAATCCCAAACTTTCCCTTCTTCTGTGTAAATCTGAGTCTTACACACATCATAATGTCCCCACACCAGAGGGTAGGGCTGCATCACTGAGGACACTGTAACCCAAAGGGCGTGAATGGACAGGAATCTGGGCAAATACATCTCTAAATTCTTGGCAGTCTTCGTGTTAACTAAAGCAGGGTTTGCGTATCTGTGGTCTCTGTCTATTTTACATATACATCTATGTCTGCAAGTAGGTAGGTCTGTATATTAAACAAACGAACAAAAAGATGAGACCTCCAAGTAGATTCCAAAACAAACTAAGAGGGAAGGGTTGAGATATTGTGCGTGTTCAAGATATTTGACTTTGGTGGAAGGCTAACATAATTGTGCGTTAGGCGTGAACAGCAACATGCAGGTTTTTCATTGTCTTAGAACGTATCTCCTAGGCTTGGGTCCAGTATGGTTTTTGTAAAAGATGTCCGATTGCCAAAAGTGGTGGCTCTCTTGTATATCCGACAACCCTGGGAGATCCCCGATGCTCACAGCTCACACGCACTCAGATAATAGCATCCGAAACAAAAGGATGAGTGTCTCCAGCCTGGTGTCTGTTTCCCATCAATCATTCTTCTCTTCCGGCACCAGCACCCTTTTAGAAACAATATGAATAAGAGTTATTGTCCCAGAATCAATGCATTACAAAATGGATGATATGGTGACATTGGGGCGGTTAGATGCAATAGAAAGCAAATTAGTGTAATATAGATAACCTTTACTCAACTGCTTTGCTAGAAAGAGCAAACCACAGAAATCATTCACATTGGGGAGAATTTCAATATGAAGGATTTAACTCTTCCATGTAACAAAGACAGACGTGTGTGTGTTTCAGGTGAGTTACAGGTTTTTGCTTCAAAAATTGTATTTCCATCGTGACAAAACTGAGAGCAAGCAGCTGGACTTAAACATTTCTCAAATATCACAGTGCTAGAAACTCTTCCAGGAGAACAATGGGGAAAATGAGCACTTTTATAACAATGACAGAGAGTGACAACTACTTGTATGCCTTTTGTCTCTTGGCAAAGAGACCCTAAAAATCTGCAAATTCCTTGTACATTTCTTAGCTTTTGTCAGCAGCACTGAAAACCGGTTTTGTTACAATGAGCCTGTCCTTTTGGAGTTGTTCATTATATCGGACAAATTTAGCATCTTTTGTTTAGTTGTGTTTAGTGATAAAGATAATTTGGCTCTCTGAAAAAATTATTCAAAATAAAACCAAAGGAGCATATTTTTCTTTCATAAGAATTTTCTATTTTCTTACATCTTTTTATAGCCATTACATCTGCCTTTGCAGTAACAGAGGAAAATGTGTCCCAAAGGCGAATATTATACACTGCTCTAAAACTAAAAGCTCTGTAGTAAAACGCACAATTTAAAATGCACATATAAAAATAGCTGAGGGTGAGTTAACAGGCCATGAAGCACAGAATAATATGGCACTAATTCTAAGAGAAAATAAAAATTACTGTTTAAAAGTGCTTTTGGTTAACTGATAATGCAGCCTACGTAACTATGAGCAACAGTCATTGGTGAGTTTAACTGGCAACTTTTCTCTTTAGAGATCACTGTCCAAATCTAAACAAGTGGTAAAATTTAGATTCCAGGTTTAAAACAGTGTATTCATTTAATTAGTTGGTTCATGTTGTCATAGTCTCAATGATTGATTATTTTTTTAAACAATTGAAATAGGACAAAAAGCCTACAGTTTTAGAAAATACCATTATTTTTCACATGAAGCAGTTTAAATACGGAAGTTCACTATCTTCAATCTTATAAAATGAATTCACTATATTTAAATAATGCACCATCTTAAAATGAACTAAGAAGCCACGGAAACTATGAAATGCCAACAGATGGTTGAATTGTGTTTCCATAGCAAAGTAATTTATAATAATTGCTTTATGGATGCAAGTGCAATTTTCATTATATTCAATTCATAAAATGTTATTTTACAGCTGCAATTTGTGATATTTTCTATTAGGAAAAGGGTTGAATATTTGAATTCCTATGAAGCAATAATTAGCAGTTTGTCTAAACATGTATAAACTACAGATTTGAATCTGCCTCTTCCTTGTAATATAAAGTCTATACTGTGTTGAGCACATTTTGAAATCTTAAGTTAAAAAGAAAAAAAGTTTCAGAGAAGCATGTGTTGTGGCTACTACAGACTTCTGTTTTTTTTCAGATTCATTAGTTAGTTGTAAGTTGACATTTTCAGAAGCATCCACCAACTTGACAATGAATAATCTGAAAAAGTGCTAAAAATAATACAAATTTACATTTTCTAGATGCATGTTTCAATGGTGTTTACTGATTTATTTTACTACTTTATTTTAGCCAACACTTTCAGTGGGTGTGGGGTCGGGGAGCTGGGCATTACAACTGATTCTACTAGACCAGAAATTATTAACATCAATTGTAGTTTCAAATACATAGCAATTTATTTATCAAAATGACATACTCCTGAAGACCTGAAATAGACTGCAGTGACTTTGAGTAAGCACTGTAAGTTAATATTATATTAAAAATATGACCTTCGATATATATTATTTGAATTCTCCCTGAGATTAATCATCATTTTTTTAACCAATAAATGCTATCCCCCTAATCCATTTATTCTTGGTCACTGTCTTTATCCACATTTGGCCTTCCTGCAACCACAAAATAAAGAGTGACCATATATATGTATGTGAAAAATTTGGACACTGAGGAAATGTCTGTGAACCTGTTACTACTTCCTGTCACAACAGCAAGCCCACTGCTACGAATACTCATTAAAGTATACCCGAATTATAACGATGGTCATTACACAGAATTATGGACTACACCATGATCGAATTTAGAGAACTGACAAGGAAAACTGCAGAGGAGTGCAAGATATTTGAATATTAGGCAGTTGCAGGACTGTGCGACAGACATTCTTGACAAGAAGCAGCCAATTATAGCTTACATTTCTGGCACATAACCAGTTGTGATTAATAGTTTTCCATTACATTACAGACGTATTATTAATGTATTAAAAATGTCAAGCTTTGGCAAGCACTAATGTGGCATGGCTCGGTTAGTCTGCAGAATTTACATTTAATGAGTTCCCATTGACACAGAAAAAGATATTGACCACAGCATATTACAGATCAGGAGCAGAGGGTCACTAAGCTGTTCTTTAACATAATTATTTGAATTCATTTTCATTTTTAGGTTTGTAGCGTGCCTCACCTAGTCTGTATCTTTCATATCAGGGTTTCCTTACTTTTCAGCGCCAGGCACATTTCAAAGAAAATCCTCTGAATAGAAAATTAATAAGAAGTTAAATCTATGAACTTCTATGCCACACAATGGAAAAGAAGCCTCTGTCAAAATCAGGAATTTTCTATGAAAGTATAATTATGGAGTTTTCAAAGAAAATGAAATGTAATAGAGGTAAAAAAAAAAATAGAATATTATTTACCCCTTAACCTCTATCACCTAGTGGCTCCGGTTCCCATCTGGCTATGCTTTCAACCAGGTTAAAATCATCAATAGCTTCTTAAAAGCTAGGTCATCACAGCAAATAGATAGGCAAACCGATTATGAGAAGGACAGTCAATGACATATTTGGGGATTTAATATACTAACTAATCCCTGCTGGCCCATAACGGAACTAATTGCCAAGTAATGTGGGCTTTGAATTTGTCTCAGGTGTCCCACCACCTAAATGTGAGCAGCTTCAGAAGAGCCCTGGGAAGCCCCAGCTCTAGTTCTTTACTTTGCAAACCTTGGGAACTCACCATTAATTAAATAATGCCATCATGTCTACCTGTGCACTAAAGTACTGAGGAGTCCTCTTGGATAAAAATACCCATTAATATGCTACGAGGACTCCATAGGCCTCTGACTAGTGTATAAATTTGCAGAGCCAATGCAAAAATATAAAATTATGTCAGGCCCTCAAGTTGATGGATGCTATTGATCTGGACTGAAATGGGCTATAAAATGATTCTGCATACATGGAAGATATCTTTTCCCCAGGATTCTGTAGCTAATTCCCTTCCACCTTGGGTTAACTTTGCAAAAGGTGTTTCACAGGCCCTTTCCTTCGTCAGAAAAGAAGCCTCTCAAAATACTACAAGGAAGTAATAATGATCAAAATGATAGACAATTATATTCCAAAAAGAATTGCCAATTTCATCAACTGAGAGGAAAATATTGACAGCAAATCCACTAACTCGAGCTGGCTTTCAGCATTCATTTTATTACATAATCTCACTAGGAGGTGGGGTGGTGGTAGTAGGCTATTTATTCCATGAATACTCAGCTCTTCAGGGGCACCTGAAGTGGACAGCTATTGACTCATTCCTCATAAACATTAAGAATTTTATAAATATGCATGTTTCTGAATGGGAAGGGACAAAAAGACTATCATCATAGTAGTCTATTGAGTGAAAAATATAAAGAGATAAAGAAATATACAAGTTCCGTAACCTATCAAAATTAGCAGCTTCCAAAACTGCCATAATGAAAATGACTAGATGAGATAGTTAACATATATTGAATGCTCTTTGCATTTATTTGTTGGTTGTGAAGAAAGCATTTCCTAGTCCTCTTAATGGGAAACATTTGCTTCTGTCCTTTTGTTAACTGTCTCTCAAAATATCAGGAATTAAACATGTACTGCACACGATTGGTATTTTTTGCTCATACTTGGTTGGGTATTATGAGCAACTGCCTATCTTGAGGTTCTTAATAAAACCGAATAGCACACCTTAGTATGTGAAAGATCTCTGTTTTCATCGAGAGAAGAATGATTAATTAGATAGCATATTTTGCAGGATGTTTGAAGATGGGATAATACGTAAAATTATTTCAGAATCAGTTACACCTAGAAGAAACCTGGTGTTTCATTACCACAGAACAACAAATCTTTCCTTCTCTTGTAGGGAAGTTCAGAGATCCATGGCTTCAAATACATATTCAAGAAGACCTACACCCACCGGAAGTTTTGAAACAAAACTCTGGATTCTAAAGATAAAACTATTTTTTAAAGTATGTTAAATCCCTTATGGACCTACAATATGAGTCACACGCACAAATATTTTTCAGTGAACATATAATTTATTTCTGAGTTACATGAAATTTTATTTCTTGCCAAGCAACTTGGTGCTTTTGTAACTCTAAAACTCTCTCTCAAAATCTTTACACTTAGAAAACATATGAACTAAATGTGTAATGGTTTAATTTTTTAAACACATTACCTAATTTTTTTCCAACTTAATGGAAGTAAAGACAGGTATTTGCTCCAATCACAAATATATAAAAAGAAATTGCAAAGTACACTAGCCTCCTCCTAAAAAAAGCTAACCTGCATTATTTTAATGCCCATGCCCTGTGAAAGCTGACAAAACAAAAATCTCGATAGAAAAAATGGCTTTCTGTGCAAATAAAATGATTTCCTTACAAAATTTTGATTATCCCTCTTCAATTTCATGACAGGAAATGTCACTAGATTAATAGACAAATAGATGGAATTCTGAATGCCCTCATGTTGGTCTTGAGTGGTGAAATAGATCTCATTTCACGATATCCAGACAAGAAGAATTATACCCCTTATGTATGGAAGCTGGAGCAACATTACGTGTGAAACACTTCATGCATTTTTTCCTTTGTGTGCTGATGCATAGGCAAAGATTCAAATTTTGTCTTAATGAAAACCTGAAGGTTGCTTATCTTCCAAAAGAATCTTGGATAGTTTACGGAGCTGCTTTTCCTTTGCCAAAGAGAAGGGAGTGGGGCGCATCAGCCATGCAAAGTGACAAAGTTCAAAATACTTAATGAAACCTGCGATTGCTAATTCCCCACTGGTTAGAGATGCACCCCAAGGGTAGACAAATCAGAAAAACCTTGCCCCTTCTCCGAAAGAGAGCATTTCTGGAAATTTTTTTCTAACAAGCTTAGCCATTAAGTACATTTGACTAAACGTTTTCTTTGGAAGATCTTTTTTTTTGTTGTTTTTCATTTCTGTAAGATAAGAAAACAGCATTTTCAGTCATAAAATAGTGCCTTATTTCTAAAGCAAAGCTACTGCCAGATACACCATATGTGTAGCAGAATTTTGAATCTTACTCAAAATTTTCCATTCCAAAGATTGACAAACTGTAATGGTAATGAGTGGCTCCATTACCTTTCCCTGGGAAAAGAGAATGCGGAAGAGGTTGGGGAGCGAAAGCCTCTACTCTCTGGAAATCTATACCTGATGTGATGATGGGAACGCAACCTATGACTTTTCCAAATAAAGTTGCTTTAAAATCCCCGCTAGGAATTTTCCCCCCTTGCTCTGTAAAATGACAACCTCCTAAACGGATTTTTGGAAAAAGAAAAAAAAAAAAAAAAAAAAAAAAA